TTGTGTGTGTGTGTGTGTGTGTGTGTGTGTGGTTTGGGGGGGAGGCGGGGGGGGACTTCCAAAACTTGTAGTCAGTTTCATCTCTTAACTTTTTTTTCACTCATTTCAATTTTCAAATGGCATTGGCATGAATATCATAGATTTCATCTGTGATATACATGAGAGTGTTTGGGAGGAAATCCTGAGTTAACCTGTAGGCGTAGTTTTTGAGCAACATAGCAGTTATAGAGATGATGGCAGAAAAGTGTCTGTTAAAGTACAAGATTCAAAACTTTATTGCCACATTAACATGGCTGATTATTTTATTTATCTTAGAGAGCTCAAATGAAGACAAAACATTAAAGCCACTCATTCATAAAGCACATTAAACATTAAACAAAGTTTTCTTTTCACTTCAACTTCAGGTTGACACAGTTTAACTGAATTAACACCTAATTTCAAAATGTCCAAAATGCAGCACATCTGATCTAGATTTATTACATATGATTCTGTAAAATGTTTTTGGCAGAAACTTTGATGGAGATTTGTCTCCACCTCGTGGTTGAATCAGATTTACTAGAGACACACTAGGGTGCATCTTCTTTTCCTTGATACTGGTACTCCACGAATAGTCAAAACGGGTGCTTTAAAATGTAAGTAGCAGCAGTTCAGTCTGAGTTGAACATTGGATCTGGAGCAAACAAATAATAATGGGCACATCAAAAGCCAAGGTCAGACACAGAGTAGGATAGGAGTCCTACTCATTTAAATGAGGCCTGCTGTGTCTGTGACTTAGGCATCTTACTTTAACTATCAAGTATCTGTAATAAGTATTCCAAAGATAACCGTTGTAACTTATTTATTTGTTCAATTCTCAACAAGGAAATGTACAATTTCCACCAAGGCATGAATCTTCTGTTGACTACAACAACAAGCAACATAGTCTGCAGTGTGTGCATATAGGAATACAACAGGTGTCCCTGTTATGCTTTCTTTCTTTCTTTCTTTCAGTAGTTTCAGTTTTCAGTATAAGCGTATTGAAATGTCAAATATCCTTAGTAAAGGATCCAAGAAGTCCAAGCTTTACATACCCAAACAAGCATTATAAAACATAAAAAAATAAACATTTCTCACATTTGCTGAGGGGACTTACATGCAGTTTTATATAATATCCTACATAAATTATAGAGCTGAAACAATTACTTGATTAAATTGATTTGGTGATTTTCAATTAATCGTTCAAGACATTTATCAAGTAAATATGCCAAACCTTCTCTGGTTCCAGCTTTTCTAATGTGAGGAGCTTTTGCTTTTGCTTTTGTTTTACATAACTATTACAAAGACTAAATGATTCATAGAAAACAATGGATTGACAATATTTGATTACTGACTTAATTGTAAATAGCCTACATAAACTCAGTCTTCACAAACTGTTCTTGTTTTTATCTTGGAGTATGCTTATTTGAATGTTAAATGTTTAAAATGAATAAGAGTTTCTAAATCAAAACAGGTTGTTTAAGTTTTTTTAATCGAGTATTAAATAAGGCTAATAGTGCACATCAGGTTAACGTCGTAATGACGTAATCCAACATGACGCGCTCACAGACGCACTGAGCGGAAAAAAAAATCCCAACTGTACCTCACAGTCCATCCATAGAGAGTGTTCAGGATTCACATGACACATCGAGCTGTTCTGACTGGTGTGTCCTGCTAGTAACTACCTGGTTTGGGTTTGAAATCCACGCTGGAGGGACAGAGCAGGAGGAACGGACCACGGATTTACGGACTGTCGCTACTGTACTGAAACTGGACAGCCATGGGAGCTGTTCTGGGGGCCTTTTCCTTCGCAAGCTGGGTAAGTTCTGAGTATTGCGAATATGAACTGTGTCATTTACAACCGCTTTGGTTTAAATGGACGGGAATGTAAGAAGCGCTGGCGTCATGAAAAGTAATAAGCAACAGGTAAGATCGCTCCACACCGCTCTCCTGTGCGGGGATCATGTAACACCAAACTCAACTCAGATATCTGCTGGTTTAATTCCCAGTCCTCCTCTCTTAGTTGTTGGGCTTCGCTTCAACAGAATTGTTAAGTAGTTGAGCTCGTGACTCGGATCTATTAATGGCTTGTTAGTAAAGCAGAACTTACTTACTTGAGTTGTTTTGTGCTCATCCGCAAGAGAGCTTGCATATTTAAGTTTAGGGTAAGCCAAACTCCTTTAAGATATGTGGCTTTGTAATTGCGCCTTTCTTTTTATCACGTTTGAGAAGAGATAGAATATAACTTAAACTATTTAATGAATTATTTGGGTTTGTTGGTTAATTCCGCACTGATTTCTTTAGTAGCGCTTTTTCCAATTATATTGAACTTGGGCCTATTTACAACCCGACCACCACCTTCCAACTTTCATTGGCGAAAGCATATTTTTTCAGCCGGTTGAAATATTATTGAAGAAGCTGTATGTATGTGCATATGGTGCATATATCTATATTGACACTTTATTGAGACATTTCAGATTGCCATCAGCATGCCTATGTGCTTTATAACGACAGAGAAAAAAGTTATTCTTCGTGACAATCGGGCCTGACTCAGTGTGACACCGTTAGAGTGCCACCTGTAGCTAACCTGCTAAATGTAATAGTGTCTGTGATTAAATATTTGCAACAAGAGAGTAGACAAAATATGAAGCCCACAGCAAAGCAAAGGGTTAATCATAACACACCTGGTCATCTGCTTACACGTGATTCATTGGATTAACTCTGCCTTGTTCCTTACATTTGGAAGCAGATGATGATCCCAACATGCATTTACAAGAGAGAAGAGCAGAACAACATGGAAATGGGGCGATGATCCATTTCACAGAAATGGCTTGGATTAGGACAAATACTACAAGAACATTTTGGAAGTAAAATGATTCACTCAATTATTAATTTGACAACAACAATATTTTACAACAATTTATACAAAATGTATAAAAACTAAAGACAAACATCAACACAAATTGTCCAGTTATCTAATATTGCTGGTATTGAATTTAATGGGAGGGAAAAGAAACAAATCCTCACATTTCTGAACTTGATGAATGAATTAAAAGGTTATGACTAGATTATGAAGATTTTCAGTCTAATTAACAGTCTAGGTTTCTATGTTTTGGGGAACAGAGATCCTCTCTCAGCCTTGAATGAACATTCCAGTAGAGGAGAGTAACAAAAAGAGAGGAAACCACCAAAACAATCTCACAGCTCTGACCTAAACCCTAGTAAATGTGGACGGACTAACATAAGGAGTGTAGGAGAGGAAAGGTTAAGGATAAAAACTCAATGCATATATATCTATAAGCCATAACAAAATTAGTAATAACAGTTATATAGTTATAATAATAGGAAAAGAACATACATAAAAGATTAAATATAAGAGGACACAATTTTCTGCCATAACAATGACAACCATGCTTCTTTCAGTTTTACACTAATAAAAGACATTTCCTGAGTTTATTTTGGTTCAGGTCAGGACAGAGCTTGGGCTGGTTGGTCATGTGCACTTGCTGGCTGCGCGTTATCTGGCACACATTACCATGGCCTAGTCTGTGCTTCTACTAAGTCGGCCTTGTCTGGCTGGCAGGGGAATTAACTTGTTGACGATGTTCCGGCCCTCCTTATCTCTTGACTCTACTCAGTTGTCAGTGTAGGAGAGAGACTCATCTAAAGCAGTGTAGGGAGTGTATTTATTGTAAATGAATGCACAGGTTTGAGTATGACCCGTGTGTATTTTTCATTGAAGTGATACTGAAAGTAGGTCATTAATAGATCTCCAAAGGGACTCAACGTCTTACTCGGATATACGGCTAGATTTTACAATATTTGTTTTTCTGTAGTTTATGATTAAAGTTTAAATATTAAATATTTTTCCACCTGTGTCAGTTTTGGACACTATAGATTGGCATAATGTTGAATTCACCACCACCATCGGAAACGCAGAGAACACAATCACTCTGGTGCAAGCAGCTTAACAACAACATGGACTCTTTTTAAGTCCTATTAATGTGTTTCTTTTATATTTTAATGCCATTGTGTGTCTTATGTAAAGGCCTTGTTGTAGTTGAAAGGGGCTTCGCACATAAACTTGCCTTGCCATGAACATGCCACTTTAACTTTATTTGACCCAATCTGTCATGTAACGTCCTGCTGCTGGAAATACTCACTGCACCAGTGAATGTGTATTAATCCAACGCTGAAAATAGTCCTCAACAGATGCACTATTTCCTCCTGTGTAGTAACATTTATAAAAAAACGGCCGTGGCCAGCTGTTTTAGGAAATTACATTTTTACATTACATATTGTTTAAATGAAACTTAAATTTTTTTTGTTTTTAAAGATTTACATTTTCAGTAGGAACCAATGGGCTTGGGGCTGAGAGCCACCAACAGGGTCACAAAGTACAGAGTGATAGTCCCCAAGTTGGTTTCAGTCTTTTCATTGGATTTGTGTGCAATTAAATAAAACAGAATAAAACATCTCATCCTTTAAACAGTCCCAACATTTTGCTCCTCTGTAGTGGAAGGATTACTGTATTTGCTTTTGTGACTGGACTGGAAGATTTGATTGTGTGATTATGTTATATGGCAGCTTGTTGCTAAACTTTAAGTGAACTTTCTGCTCTGACTTTTTTGCACTCTGACTTACATCCAGTCCACATCTGCCTGGGCTGGATTTATGTGTTTGTATATGTAACTGAGCTCACATGTTTACTGTGGCTGAGGCCACAGATCTCCTCCAAAAACAGCATCAAGACAGTGTTAACCTGAAAAAAGGAGAGATAACATTGAAATGGTTTAATACTAAAGAAGGCACTCTGACATCTATTTTAAGTACAAACAAGTAAACATAAATCAAGTTAACTAGTATGGATAATGCAAATATGATTACACAATATATGTGGGGTTTTTTTTCAAAAGTGAAGACATGATAACTGGGCTAAGGGATTAAATTGTGCATAGTGCAACCTCTGATAGGAGTTGAATTGTCATTTTGTACACATAGCAACTGTTAATACAACCTAATTTAAAAGATGGACCACAACATACACAAATACTGGTTGTGCCGTATTATAATTATTGTTTCAGATCCAGATAATTAAGAAATATTTGTTGGACTCTGGTGAAAATAAAATATGGGCAATGAATTCTTTATATTTGGTGGAGTTTTAAAAAATAATAATACCAAAACAGTTTAGTCTTTTCACAGCAGTTGTCTGTCAATTACCAAAGATTATACAAGCAGACGGAAGCTTGTACAATCATTACACCTAAAGTACAACAGAAAACTGGCAGAACATCTTGTCTATAAATACACTGAGTACATTTCCACCTACCCATCTCCAGTCTGACCATCATTTCATTCTGTTAACACGACTTCTACAGTTGACATGTAATGGTCTATCTGACATTCTCTGTTCAGCATTCTGTCTTAATCTTACTTCCTCTATCACTGAAACACTTTTATTCCATGGTTATGATCTGCAGTTCAGACACAGACCAAAAGTCAGGGCTCATCAGATGACTTTCAGATGATTTATCAGCATCATCTCGCCCATGTCCAATTTGATTTACCATATTTAGAAGCAGAGAAAAGACATTAGCCTCGGCCTCTTGCTAATTTAAAGAACGACATGGGAACATTTTACGCTTATGCTCAGATATCTCTCTCACTCCTTACATTCATTCACAGGATGATTACATGATTTATTGTACAGAAAACAAAGAAAGAACACCACCAAAACTGAGTTTAAGAAAAATGCTTGCTGGTGAACTTTTGCAGTGGTTGGTGGCATTTGAAGCAGAGGTGAAAAATTTAGCTGGAAGTTTGCATGGAAATTTTTCATAAAAGAGATGGATTTTACAAACAGAGAATTGCCTTTCAAGAGTTTATTTTAGTATTCAGTCAATCATTTGCAAATTGACCTGGTCAAGCTTACCTTCAGAGACATATTGTCCTTTAAAGGTACAACACTGAATTGAGACTCCTCCTCACCTGACTAATCTATATCCTCAAAAAATAGGGGCAGCATATCACATATCAGGTTAAAACTGCTGCTAACTCCCGTTAGCTCAGTTAGCTGTGCAGCTAATTCAGCGATCCTAGTAGCTGACTGAGTCAGGAATGAGCATCAGAACCTGAATATTCGAGAATGTTGCTTGGAGTCGAGTGGGAGGACCAGGGCAGGCAGTGTAATACCCAGAAGTGGCACCTAGGTAGGGTGACCATATTTTGCTTTTGAAAAAAGAGGACAGTTGGAGTGGATGGAGACCCGCAGTGGGTGGATGGAGACCCGCAGTGGGTGGAAGGGTGGGGCTGGGGGAAATTCAAGAAATTGGTGGCACTGTGGCAATGTGTATGGAAGGAGTTGGGTTTTTATTTTGTGAAATAATGCAAATATTATATTGAAATACTTTCTTTCCCCAAAGAGTAAGATTTAATAGTGCAGGTACTGGTCAAAGAAATGCAAAAATGCGCACAGTAATGCCGACTGTAGAAATCAGATGCATTTTTTGTTACCAAAAAGAGGACTTGTTTAGGAAAAAGAGGTTGAGCAGAATAAAGTCTTAACAGCAAGGAAGCTAAAACACTCATGAGTGTCAGGAGATGGGACAGTGCCGCATGAATAAACTGAATCTAGGGAGGAGTGGGGTGAAGAACCGGGGTTTACACGCAGGAGGGCTTGATTAGTTGTATGTGCCTCCGGTGCGTGGGTGATCAAAGGTGAGCAGAGTGGCTGGCCTGAGGAGAGTCGGAGAGCCACGGCCAGACACACACAGACACAAACATATAGGACAGACTGGTAAACCAGACAGAAAACACAAGGGAGGGGAAATCACAATAGAAACACAGGGAAGTGGAGGAAAAGTACTGCTGACTATAACACAGAGAGCAAGCAACAGTGTGAGAGCCAGAATATCTGTACATGTATAACTCTGTTAATGTTAGTGGTATTATGGTTTTTGGCTTTCTGCCTCTCCTTTATTGAGTTATATATATTTTTGTGCATGCAATAGGTTTGCAAAGTGAAAAAGCCAAAGTCCAGCCCAAAGGGAGTTCCCATCTCCCACAGAAAACTCTGAACTGCCTGAAAACAGTTTGTAGTCCAGCGTTTGCAAAATGCGCCTCATATAACGCTCACCAAGCGGCTAGTGGAAAAACACTGAGCTGCAGCACACACCTCTCCTCTCCCTTCAAACACTAGCTACCCTCCAGGCAGTCAGTGGACATAAAGTTGTTCCTGTGATGTAGAGACAGAGCTCAGTTAAAACTTTATGGATGAAAGATACTTTTGTTACAGATTAATAACTCACCACTCTGAAACTCTTGCTCCAGTCCATGTTGCCAAGCTGGTCGGCAACATGTACAGCTGAACCGAAGCTGTTGACCGTCTTTTCGCTGACCCGCCCTTCTCTGCTTCTGATTGGCTAGTAGTCCTTAACTAGGAACTGCACATGTGCAACTCCCAACAAAGATCATTTAGAGACAGGATGTATCACTCCATAGCTAAAACGAAGCCTTCAACACAGGGTGAAAAGAGGAGCTGCAGCAATGTGCAGTATGACAAAAATATGGTGTTTTTTGAAAATTAAACCGTGTAAACCTGTTCTGGTACAACCCCTAAATAAAACGATGAACCTGAAAATTAGCATAATACCACCTCTTTAAGAGTTTATTTTGAACTACACAAGTTGCTGATGGTTGGGAGAGTAGAGAGACTAGAGTCTAGAGTTTTATTGTGTCTCTGAAGTTGTTTCTGGAAGAAGTGTCTTTTACAGTGAGGTAGAGACCTGAGCTGTACTATCAAACGAGAAGCAGAAAAAAGTGAAGACGTGATACCCGGGGTAAGGGTTTAAATGGATGGAAATGCAAACACAGAAAGGAGTTGAATTGTCATTTGATGAGTAAGAGATTAAAGCAGTTGAAGAGTAAATTTATATGAGCAAATGTGCAAACAAGGCAACGACTTACATTCATTATTTTAGGTTTCTCCATAAACTTGTCACCAGGTCCTTTTACATGTAGATGCTGAAATGTGTGATTTTGTTTGTCTGTAGGTGCCGTGCCTATGCAGCAGTGCAAGCTGTCTGATGTGCAGCTGCTGTCCGAACAGCAGGAACTCCACGGTGACCAGGATCATCTACGCCTCCATCTTGCTGCTGGGGACCATCGTCGCCTGCATCATGCTGTCACCAGGTGTGGATCAGCAGCTAAAAAGGGTACGAGTGAGTGGGAAATTGTAAATGATTTAGACACTGCTGGGGCATGTGAATAGATGATTTGTAAAACGTGACTTCCTGTGATTTTCTGTAGATCCCAGGCTTCTGTGAAGATGGAGCTGGATCTTCTATCCCCAGCCTGAAGGCTAATGTCAACTGTGAAATGTTTGTTGGCTACAAGGCAGTGTACCGCGTCTGCTTTGGCATGAGTATGTGTTTCCTGGCGTTTTCCATTCTTATGATTAACATCAAGAACAGCAGAGACCCCCGTGCTGCCATCCACAATGGGTAAGCACTGCAGTAACACCAGCAACACCTTTATTGCCCACAGCAGTGGAGGGTGGGTTTTGACCACACCATTTACCTTTATTTGTCTTGGGAGTTGTAGTCTTCTTCTTCTTCTTTGAAAACTGTCAACCTTAGATTGACAATTCTGGAGATGTTACAAGTGTGGAAGGCGTAGAAACAAAGAGCAGGCCTACATTAAATGAAGGGTTTGCTTTCTCTGTCCTCTCCAACACCACGTCCAAGGTATATTATAAGTTATGCAACATGTCATTCAGCAGATGGCCTTTGTCCTGCACTCACCTTTGAAGTCTTTGGATTCTTTACTACACCTGCAACATTCGTTTTCATTATCGATCTACAGCACATCTTTTGATTATATTTTTGATAATTTGATCATTTAGTTCATAAAGTTTACAGTTGGTTTGACCAGCAGCTAACAACGAAAACTAAAGTATTTAACACTTAAGTCTGTGTGTTTTTACCTGTTCTTTTCACAAAGTTATTGATGTGTTCACTTTGGGTGGGACAGCATTCATTTGCATGTTTAGTTTGTAATATGAGTTCCTGGATTTGCAACTATGCTCAAGAACAGAGAATAAAGTTAGATTTTACACCTTTATGGTTTCACATTGCTGCTGCCGCTTTTACTGGGAGTCTCTCTATCCTGTATGTAATGTTTAATGAAATTCCAGCACACAGTACTGGAATTTCAGTACACTACAGGAGCGCGCACAGGTCTATATCCCGACCCGATACCTTCACATTAAAAGCAGAATAGTAGCTGTTGAAAGCAACAGAGAAAACAGGCGTGTGCTTCATTTCTAAGTGAGGCTACAGCCCATGGACAATAAGGAAGTAACAATTTGTTTTAATAAGTGATTTCATTGAAAAACTACATCCAGCCCCTTTTAACCTTGCAGTGTGTAATTCTATTGTTTTTGCTATTTAACAATCAATGGCCTTCATAGTGTTAACTTTGGACATTGTATGACTTTGAGGTGACCTTATTACAACTCAGTTGCCTGTATGTGGATGTGTATTCTATTGTATAATTAGCCATTACCTGTTTGTTTTCAGATTTTGGTTCTTTAAGTTTGCTGCTTTGGTGGCAGTTACAGTCGGTGCCTTTTACATTCCAGATTGGCCTTTTACCTACAGTAAGAATTTTAAATTGTAAACATTTAGTAACTCAGATCATGACATCCAATATACACAGAGTTGTGATTATCATCATAGATGTGTAATTAAATGACCTGTGTATCTCTGTTGTCCCAGCGTGGTTTGTTGTGGGCTCCGGTGGGGCCTTCTTTTTCATTCTGATCCAGCTGGTGCTGCTGGTGGACTTTGCCCACTCCTGGAACGAGTCCTGGTTGGATAAGATGGAGAGTGGCAACTCCAGGGGTTGGTATGCAGGTCAGTGGGTCAAGCTGTGGCACAATTGCATGCTGCATACAACTTTTAATTTTTTGTGTTTTGAGTATGTTTACAATTCTAAAAGTACAATATGCAGACTAAAATTGGTTGCTTTTTGAATGTGGTGTTGATGGACACTAGAGATCCACTATACAATATGCAACAGAAAAAGAGGAACTGCTCACACATGAAAAAATATTTAAAAGCTGTAGACACAGGGACTTGAAATATGTTGATGTCTTAGGCCTTGTGTCAGATTTTCAACTTTTCTATCTTGTTTTTTAGCTCTGCTGGGGGTTACAGTCCTCAACTACATCCTGTCCTTAACTGCTGTCATACTGTTCTTCGTTTTCTACACAAAGCCTGATGGATGCTTCATCAATAAGTTCTTCATCAGCTTCAACATGCTGTTCTGCATGCTGGCCTCTGTTGTCTCTGTGCTGCATAAAGTACAGGTACAGGACAGAAAGTCGTACTTCAGTGTGAAAACATTTGGTTAGGGACAAGCTTTAATTTGATGGAACGATTCAATAATGTGATGTGCTTTAAAAAACAAAGGGTACTGGAAACAATATCATGAATACCTGTAAAGTCTGTATTATAGGGAATACATTACATACATAACATAAGTAATACAGTAAATTTAAACAATGACCAGAGAGCTAAAAGTGCACCTCTCTGATGCAGCATCAACCAAAATCATGACAAGGATTTACAAAGGTGGGATTTGTTGCATTATTGAGTGTTCATGCTATTGTGTCCACCATCTATAGATTCTCACTATAGCTATCCCTCAGGGCCCAATTAAATTATCTTTACATCTATTTTTATTAGTGCCATTACCATTATATGTTTGATTTACCTGTGTTTGACTTACAGGTGTCTCATATTGGTTTTGGTTTTGTTTTGCACTGTGAATGTCAAAGTTAGCCTGACCTCTGATAAAGTAGCATCCAGGGTCATCTCCCACACAGTGGGTACGTATCACACAGTGAATGTGCTGTGGGAGGGTTATTTACAAAAATAAATGAAATGGCCTTGGCCTTGGAAGTAGCCTGATGCAGATTTAGCAGGTTAGTCACAGTTAGATTACTACTGTAGTTAGTAAACTTGTTAACCAGTGTTAATGTTTGTAGCTTAGATTAGAGCAAACAAACAAATCCTAAGTTACTTTTTAAATGACACTTTCTCTTGTATTTGTGGTTTTCAAGAGGGTAAACAATAAATCACCACCCACACACTTCATGTAAACCCACAGAGTATCACTCTACTGCAGCCATGTGTACACTGCTTACAAACATGAAGAAATCCAAAGCTTGAAAGCTTCTTAAGACTTAAGAAGGCAGGCCTGCCTTCTTAAGTCTTAAGAAGGTTTTAAAGTATGGTCACATTACACTTCTGTCCTACAGATATTCACTCCATTTCCCTTTCACTTCTATTAAATCTAGACCTCTAATTCTGCTTCTCCTTTGTCCATCTTTGAATGAGGAGTTTGTGTTTGGAAGTGGAGAAGTTATTGTTCTAGCTTGTTTCGTCACCATTTTAAGTACATATCACACTATCAGACTGCAAACTGGAGTGTCTGCTAAGCATTTAAATGCAGTCGGACTAGGTCATATTTCATTGTCTCGTCTGTGATTGGTTCCTAAAACAACATGCCCCCACCAACATGCTCCCTCTTCTGTTTTGACACAGGGCTGTTTTCGGCCTGAACAAGTGATCCCTATCTAACGACAGAGGGTTTCATTTTTGTACAGATTGTATAGCTCTTTGAGGCAAATTTGTAATTTGATAATTTGATGTACATAAATAAAATTGACATGAAATATCTCCTTATGGGCTTAAACAGAATGCATTCTGAAACTTAACTTATAAACTTACACTTACTTATTTTGAAATGGAGAGCCAGCTGGCTGCAAAGAAAAACTAAGAAAACTAACAACATATGGACATTGCTGTTATTACAGTCCATCAGTGTTGTGACATATTTGATTATCTAATCATCCCTTTTTCCAAAACTAAGTAATGAATGTTTGATTATAACTTATTTCTCAAGTTTGAGAAAAGTATCTTAGCCCAGGGCCCACTTACTGGCTGTTACTATGCTTTCAGCCACATCTTAGTGTCTTCATCAGTAACTGGCGTTTGCTCAGTTATCATGGATATTTCCTATTATTTATAGATTTCTGACAATTATATCTGTGTGTGTCCCCAGGAGTCTCAGCCACGTTCAGGTCTTCTACAGTCCTCCATCATCACCCTGTACACCATGTATATCACCTGGTCTGCCATGACCAATGAGCCTGGTGAGAATGTTTGCTGTTTGCTTGAATCATTGCTGTAATAACAATGCTGCAGTTATGAATTGCAGAAATAACAGCCACCCATTAGCCCCAAACTAGATACATCAGCATCCGCTTGTCATATGACTATGAGTTACTGATTTTGTTAGTTATGCTTTCGGTTGTTCATTTTCAAGCTACTTGCATGGATCTTATGATTAACACACATTCCTTCCCAAGAAAATGTATTAAAGGTGTGTGAAAGTCAGAGCATGTCTCGCTCAGGAGGTAGAGCGGGTTGGCAGCTAATCGGAAGGTTGGCGGTTCAATCCCTGGCAGTGTGTCGAAGTGTCCTTGGGCAAGATACTGAACCCCAATTGCCCCTGTTCCGCCAGTGTATGAATGAGTGTGAATGTTAGTTTCCGTTTGAATGTGTATGACTGGTGAATGCAGATGTAGTGTAAAAGCGCTTTGAGTGGTCGAAAAGACTAGAAAGGCTATACAAGTACGGAGCATTTGCATTTGCAAATAAGGCAACTGTTGCGATTTCTTCTTACACACTGAGCTGTAGATCCAAAAATTGTGCTTGTTTTTTTTTCTCCCCTCAGATCAAGAATGTAACCCCAATCTACTGAGTATCTTACAGCATATCACCGCCCCCACGCTGGCCCCTCTGGAGATGGAGAACCAGACAGCTGTGGTGATCGTCGACACAGAGGAACCTGTGTTGACGTCCCCGTACCTACAGTGGTGGGACACCCAAAGCATCGTGGGACTCGCTATATTTATCCTGTGCATCCTCTACTCTAGGTAGCACTACTGCCACATGAAAATTATGTTGGTGAATGTCGGTTCTAGTGTTGTAGTACTCGAGACTGGTCAACCACTTTTTGATGGTCTTTGTCTCGTCTTGGACTCGATCGCATTTGTACTCGGTCTTGTCTTGGTCTTGGACATTGAGGACTCAGGATTTTATTTATTTTTATTTATTTATTTATTTGGGAATATCAATAAATTGCTTTTGCATTGTCTGATTTATTTGTTAACATGCTAACTTTCATTAGATGTAAAACCTATTGCTTCACATGCAACCAATAAGACTAATTAAAAATGTGTTGTTAACATTAACGCCTGTCACCCCTCTCTGTAATGGTAAACATGGAAAAGGAGTGTTGAATAAAGATTTAGTCATTTGTAGTATTTGTAAATGGACACACAGTATCCATTCATATCTGTCTTGCCCTCAGCATTCGTTCGTCCAGCACCAGCCAGGTAAACAAGCTGACCATGGCCTCCAAAGACTCGGCCATCCTGGCTGAGGGCGGCAGCAGCCCCGACCTCTCAGAGGAGTCAACAGGACCCAGGCGAGTGAAGGACAATGAGCAGGACATGGTCCAGTACAGCTACTCCTTCTTCCACTTCATGCTCTTCCTGGCCTCGCTCTACATTATGATGACCCTCACCAACTGGTACAGGTCCGTACCCCAACCTCACAACACAGACACTACTATACTTTTACTTATTTTTCCATCCAGCTGGATAAAATTGTTTGGCGGAGAATGATGAGCTGTTGCAAAATATAAAACACCAAATACAAAACTGTTGCTGACAGTAGCAACAGATACACCACTTAAGCAGACTTAAGATTTCAATCTGAAAACCCCCTTTTAATTTTAATTTTTCCAAACTGTCACACCATTAAATATATCAGCCCTTATCAACTCTAGCAGTTGCTGGTTGAAAAATGCCACACTTGGGTGATCATAGAGAAAATGAGGGCAAGTTATTATATAATTGTCTGTTTACACACAATTTACACACCAACTTCCTGGTTCAGCTTTGACCTACTTGCTCTGGCTGTGTGTGCTAGTTTTTCTGTGCAGGCATTACAGTATAACCAACATATAGGGTGCATTTCGTTAATGTGGCTATAAAGGGTGTTTCAACCTGTGTGACTATCTGAATAAACATATTCCCTGCCCTTTTGGACTGTTGGAAGTGTTTGTGCATTAAATGTGTTTTTTCCACCTTGAAACATGATAAGTAGATACATGTAGATGACTGAAATACCTTTTGCTGTGTTCTGCTCCTGACAGCCCTGATGCAGACTACACTGTAACTAGCAAGTGGCCAGCAGTGTGGGTGAAGATTACCTCCAGCTGGGTGTGTTTAGCCATGTACATCTGGACCCTGGTGGCCCCCATGATCCTCACCAACCGAGACTTCAGCTGATCAGTAACTCCATCACTGACTCCACAAAAAAACAAACCTCTTCTTTTTTTACATAATACCATATTGCCTACATCTTACTTTCCAAACTGACTCACACTTTATCCCTTTAGCTGGAGTTCAGTTTTATTATTTCTGGATTTATTGAAGTTAAAATTGGGTCTTATTCAGAGATGCCATAACAGCTGCTTCAGGTACAGGTATTTACTGTAGTGATTTCATACCAGTCAGTAGCAGCTGCTCATTAATTGGACATCCCAGGACAATCACACATTTTCTATTGAAGCACAAAAACACACCATGAAGGAAAACCACTCCATTTGTTGTTTGCATAAATTTATGTGAATTGTAAATCAAATTCAACATTTTGATAGTATGTGATCTTAAAGGTTCAGTGTGTAATATTTAGGAGGATCTACTGACAGAAACGCAATATAATATACATACTACATGTACTCTACGGAGTGCATTCATGTGGTGCATTCATGTGGTGTCTGAAAAAAGTTTTTCCTCCTCCTTAAATCTTTATTTCAAAGAGGAATAAAGTGTACATTTACATAAAGAAGTATACAGAACAGTATACAAATATATAAGAAGACACAAATAATAAACTACCAGAGGTAATCTATATTACATAAAGATATTATGTGTACACTTTTCACAGCGTATTTTTTTTTGTTGGATTTAGAAATATAATTGATATAATGTACAACTTCATGGAGAAAAAGTAAAAAGTTAGGTTTTTTACTGCTGAATTTACAATTGCCATTAGAAGTAATACATTTATTATAAACTATTTTGTCCGAGGAGCAAGTTAATGCACAGAGATTTGCAACCCTCACCACTAGTTGCCACTAAACATTCACACTGAACCTTGAAGAAACTAAATTTATGTATGCTTTAACAACAAATATTAGCCAGATTAAATCAAAATATTAAAAAAATATATTTTTAACATTGCTGTTGAATGTTCTAGAAATTTCAGTATTACAGTATCAATAATAACCAACCCTGGTTTGTGAATGTAATACAGTAGTAAGCTCATATAGTTTGCTGCTTTGCCTTGCGATGCCTTATATGTGTGTCAAATGTTTCAAATAATTGAATGTCTTGAGCGTAATATGAAGCACATGAGTGTAGTGGGCTATTGCTGATTAACATGACACATTCCTGCAATATGACTCAAAAGTCAACTTTCTGCCAAATATTCTACCTATTCGATATTCATTGTAAAGGTGTCTTTGAGATGGGATCATTTCAGGTTGTAAAATAAATCCATACACTGCACTGAACACACAGATACAATCAAAATATATGTGATATGAGTAATGATTGCATTATTTTCTGCATCACTGTGTGACTCCACATAGTATGGAATAGCTTTAATATTTATTATGATTTTACTTGTAAAGAATCTTTTTTAAATCCAAAAATAAGTTGTGTTTTGTAAGAAATGTCTGTTTTAATTGAATGAAATATCAGGGATGCCCAGATCGATCAGACTTTATTTACTGATTTTGGTGAAACTGGATCGTATTTCATAGAGTTTCTGGATGGACAGATAGCTTTAAAGGAACCGCTAACTGCTGCTAACTGTAGCTGCCTTTAGCTAGTTAGCTTGGATGCCTAGCTGCAAGGCTAACTGTAGCAACTACTGCTAATGGCAGCAGCTGTTAGTTAGCGATTATTTTAGCAAGAAGTAAAGCCATCTGTATATCAAGAGACAAATTACTTTCCTTCACAACTGAAAAAGCACTTTCTGTGAGGCATATTGAACAACAAATTTTAAGAGTAGTCCTGAGCAGAGTAGTCTCGCATAGCCAGACCATCTCCACACTTTGTTTTAGTGCTGTGCCAGTGCTGGAGAAAACACTAAGAGCAGAGCGGTCAAATAACGGACATCCAACGCCAGTGCGGTAGGAAAGTGGAAAAAAATATATTCAAACATAGCATTCAGAGCAGCCTAAGCCTGAGCTTTTTGCTCACAATGATTACTTTTACATATGTTTACCTCATTATTGGAGACTTTGGCTATATTTAGTATGAATATCTGACATTGTAACATTATATACAGTATATCACAGAAAATAAGGGAAAGCACAAAAGGTCCCCATTAATGCTTTCTAGTTGTCAATGATGCAAAAAATGTAGCCATTTCTCAGCTTAGTTGGAGTAATTATCGCATGCTTAATAACCAAAAGGAGCACTTCACCCCCAAAATTATTTGTATATAAATTACTCAATACTTGGTGCCTTGAATTACAGAAAAACAAATTTTCTCATATGCCAATGCATCCAAATGAATGTAGAATGAATCCAGAACACGCTATCCAGACTAGCTAAAGTAGATGGTGCTCCTATTTCTAATATATCATCATTTATCATCATGCTCAATATTTGCTCATGCAGCTAACAGCTGCTGTGTGTGTGTGTGTGTGTGTGTGTGTGTGTGTGTGTGTGTGTGTGTGTGTAGTCCCGGCTTCACTGGCCAGGAGCTGCATGTGTGGTTGTTCAGGTGACACACAAACTAAAATAAAACATGACAGCGGTTGATCCCAATACACAACATCTCAGTCAAACTGACCTATAAAATTGCTGTACCAGCTGCTATAACAAAAGAAACTAATTGTTTTGGCCAATATGGCTCATAGATGATCACCAATCGGTAAAAAAAAACATGATCAGGGCATCTCTATTAAATATGTTTAAGAAGATGAAACCAGACATATGTGACACAAACACTGACCAAATGCCTTGTAAGCCAAAGTGAATTTCTGTGGTTAGGGTGTTTTAAGCAGGTTGTGAGTTCTCAGTAGTGCTTCTGCAGTTCGGTTAACTGTTTATGTTTAATGTTCTAACCGATTTATAGGCATGTATGTTTGCTTTGACTCAGTTTTCACTGTAGAGATTCAATGTGCAACACTCTTGACACAAATAAACAAGCTTGTTCATCATGTTTATGAGAGTATTATATTTGTAACATAAATGTAAACATTGTGTACTATCAAATGATCCTTTCAAACAATAACTAATTCTCATCAAAACAGAGAATGATTTCCGCACAGATGAAGTACAAATAAATACACAAAACAATCACTGATACTGTAATTCTATCATATGGAACAATGTATTAAACCACACTTTACAAAACAAAAACTTAAAAGAATTTAAGTTAAAGGGGCAATATTAGCGGCCACTAGCAGTGCGGTTTTAATATTGCAACCAGGTAGGTGCTCGGACGCGTGCTCGCTTGAACTCATGAGCGAGCATAATCTAAAACACAACAGCTTTCATACAGAGATCCCCAATAAACGCAGATACACCAGCAGGCAGGCTGTGGCTTTTCTCCAGACATGTTCAGGTTCTGTTACTTCAATGTTCAAGGTTGAACTAATCCATGCTGGTTACATGATAACGTTACATTTACCGCATTTAGCTGATGTGTTACATCGTTAGCTCGCCTGCTGCTTTTCAGTAACTAACATTACTATCTGTGTATCTTTCACTAGAGGATCAGCAGTGTCAACACAGCTAAATGTACTGGATGATAATGAAACGGTTAGTGAGCTTGACTGAATATTATAACGAGTGTGTCACACTTTATAATAGTTTGACAGCAGTAAATAACTTTACTGTAGTGAATGGTTCTTCTTCTGTGTTGTTGTCCTGCACCATTATGTTGCATTATATTATGTGGGTCACATAAGTTACAGCAACTGAGACGGTGGAGAAGCTGTGTACCTGAGTATCGGTAAAACAACAATAATCTAAATTGAACGTTACGAAGCAAACAGTGGTAAAGTTAGATCCGTACTCACGTAACGTTAGCTGGCTGCTCCTGCCTTGCATCAAGTCTAGTGTAAACTAATCGCTCCACATTTTCTTTGTACCATTAAATCATTTCTTGCAGGCTAAGTCAACACTTTGACATAATAGCAATGGAACACAGGATAGTAATGTGGATCGCATTAGCTGGTGAAGTAATGTGGAAAGCCATAACATATTATCTAATATAGCCAGCGAGCTATTGTGACTCTCAGTGACTCAACCCTTTCTGATGTGACTGTTTTCACAAGACATCATCTTATTCTCGTTTGGTCTGACAAACACACATACATTAAACATTACATAAACCTTTATTGTTGTTTTTATCCTTACGTGGAGTTTATGTTGGAGTCTGTGTTGTGCTGGGGACCTGTTTTTTTGTGGTGTTGGTGGACTGCATTTCGTTAGCTGCAGTGTCGTCGCTGTAGTCGGAGAGAGGCTCAGGAGCGCGCACAGGGCTGCATCCTGACCAGGTGTCCTCAAATTAAAAGCAGAATAGTGGCTGTTCCAAGCAACAGAGAAAACAGGTGTGTGCTTCATTTCTAAGTGAGGCTACAGCCCATTGACAATAAGGCAGTGAAAATTTGATTTATTAATAAGTGATTTAATTGAAATACTACATATTGCCCATTTAAATTTGGTTTGGTCTTACTATTAAATTTAGCAAGGGAGTTTGGCTTTATACATTGGAATTCTTAAAGACTCTTTAATATGAATTCTACCTAAATAGAGATTTATTTGCATTTAAACAAAGCAATGAAGCAATTCACAATGTTTATAGTGTAATATATAATAAGATTAATGTTCCAGTTAATAATTAAGATTAGTAATTCTTTTTCATTCATCTTTAAAGCAGCTAAAATTAATTAATTAATAAATTATTTATTTTTTATTATATTATACATTCAGCAACAAACTGAAAACCCAACACTGACATATCATCACCTTATAAAGTTGATTTGACAAGTATTTTAGCTTTTGCCTTTCTAGATATTCAGCCACCACAGAGCGTTAGCATTCATCTACTGTCCCTTTCAGTCCACCTGACTAATTTGAGTCAAATAGTTTCTTAATGACAACCATGTTCTCAAAACACAATTGCAATTCTCAAATCCATTGCTCAGTTTCTCGTAGATGTATACACTTGTTGTTGCTTTTGTGCAGAATTCGAATAAGTAGCCTACACATATCTCAAAATAAGCCAAGGATGGATTGAGTTAGAAAAGCAGTCTAATCCATTTAACAGAACCCACCTGAAACTCTGAATCAACTGGTTGATGTTATAGGAGTGCAATGCTAAACCTTTCATGTATTAGTACTTAAATACTTGCATTAAACTGAAAGTAAACAAGTATTATTTTATTGTATTATTTGCAAAAAGGAACTTTAAGGTCAGTGTATCAGGATTTATTGACAGAAATGCAATATCAGATCCATAACTATGTTTTCAGTGCTGTATAAATTTCTTGCATGATGAACCATTTTTATTACCTTATTACATTTCTATCTACAGACACCGCGGGTCCCCTTACATGGACGTCGCTATGTTGTGCCGCCATGTTTCTACCGTAGCCCAAAACGGACAAACAGCGCTACAGAGCGCATTTTGTCAGTACGTTGAATAGGTACAAAGAAGAAGAAGAAGTAACGTTAGTAGTAGTAGTTGACTGGTTTATTATGAAAATCCATGTCGGTTCCACATTCCGACTTAAGAAACAGTTTGGGAAATGGGCCCATCCGAGGAGCACCTAGTTGCTATTTGCAACCCTCACCACTAGATGGTACTAAAACTTACAGGCTGAACCCTAATAGGTGCATTCAAGATGATTGCGGCTTAACTTTCGCTGACTTGATAGTTTAACATGAGCTGCAGGCAACTGCAGGGGAGGGGAATAAAAATGGCGCCGTCAAGTCGGACACAATCTACTTGTGTGAGCTTACTATGAGTTGAGATCAACGACTGGTCTCGCAGCATTTCCAAAGTAAAATTCTGCGAGACTAGGAAAAAGTGTGGTTCCAACTTTTCGGAGAAAAGAAACTGCAGCCGCCGGACATTTCTAACCATCATGGTGTATTTTAAGTCCAGCATGCATCACGTTAAGTCAGTGCTGCAGAGCGCCACATGAAGTCAAACACACCTAATGGCTCAGTCACTGCTCACCCCTCCCTTTGCAAGCGCTCAGGATAAACTGACTCACTGGATGTTTAAAGTATCAAAAGTAATCACTAAATTCATCATGTGTTTTAATTGTAAAACCTTAATTTGTAGACAACTAGTTACTAAAGCTATCAAATAAATTGGGTGGAGTAAAATTACAGGGAGGAAGGAAGACGGTGCGTTGCTAAATTGTACAGTTAATATGTAATCAGACAAGCAAAGTAGTTTATTTTTCCAGCAATTAAAAACACTGAATGTAAACCATTAATACATTGTTTTCATACTGAACCTTTGGGCTTCTCATTAGCATGTAGTAGTAACCTTGAGGACGTGTGTTTTTCCTCCATACTCAATCCAAATATATCATATCATCTAATATCTTACTGAGAAGTGAGTGAAACATTTCCTACAACCTTTTTGCATTTTAGAAAATTCACCACAAACACATAAAAACTGTACAAACACTGGTAACATGCAATTTTTTGCAAGTCTGTAATTTTTCCAATTCTAATTTTCTGATATTTTTTTAAGACATGGTTTACTGATGATATGGATAATAGAATAATTAATTAGTACAAACTCCAGTCAGTGCACAGCTGATCAGCTGAAACATGCAGTTTACCTAGAAGCTAGCACACAATGTAGATAAAGCAGGTTTTTCAAGGAAAGTCCTATTTTCCCAAATTCTTACCAAATTTCTTATTTATTTCCAAGAAACATCATAGAAAAGTATTAGGAAATGGTAATAGTAACAATAACAATAGTAATAATTGGCTTTATTGGCGCTTCAAGGATTGTTCTCCAGAGTCAGACAAAGCCTGTTTTTGATGAATGGTTAAAATAATGGAATATCATAGACATGTTTTTGAATCTGTAATCGCAAGGACTAATAATTACCAAGGGTTTTATGAAGTTTGGTCTCATTTCTAATGTATATGAAGAAAGTCGTGTACCTGGAAGTACATTAATGTGGTATAGGATGGGCATGCCACAATGGGTTTTGCAGAATCAGTTTACCCAATGAGGACATCAGCAGCCGTCAGTCAGCTGCAGTGTAAAGAGTCTCTCCTCAGGCTCCCTCTGGGCACTGTGGACCACCCGGCACCTGAGCTTTGAGCCCCGGTCGTCATTGTTGGGAGTGAGTTTTAGAAAACTGAAAATGGAGTAGAGGCCGTTGATGTTCAGGCTCGGGGGAGTGTTGAAGACACCGGAATGAATCGTCTCTCCATCTTTAGTCCAAGTCACTGACACGTCTTCAGGACAGAAGTCTTTGATGCACAGGTGCAGTGTTAACTCTTCATTCAACAGAGGACACCTCGGTTCACAGTTGATGAACATTACATTAGGAGGAGTTCCTGTTCCAAGGCACATGGAATACAAGTATGGGTGGATGTGAAGGATTTGCTCTGTTCATACAACATTTTGCAGAGGCTTATGATTTCAACTGTGCAGGGATCATCTAACATGTACTGTTACATACATTGCATACATGAGTAAAGTTACATAAGAATGATTAATACAAAAGTATGACCACAATAACCTGAGATTATCTTGAGCACATTATACGTTACCCTATTGTGGGTCCCTGCGGCAAAGATTTGCTTTGGGCCCCTATTAACCTTCCAGCTACCACCCCAAGTCTGTCAGCTTATAGTAATTTGATAATAATTAATAATAATAATTATAAAACTAAAAATATATTATTATAAAACAATTATTGTGCCGCATGCTGTTTTTCAAAACACTCGTTTTGTCTTGTGTTATAAATCCAACGCACCCTTTCCTTCACTGGTGCCCCCCTTTTCCTCCCTCTCAGCAGGCTGTGATGTTTACTTCAGCTCGGGCTGAGATGAAGGGGTTATAACTGCTACAACTTGCTGGTCACCATTATTAGCTTCAGTCTATGGCATTTACACTGCAGCCTGGTGGCTAGCTGACTTTTCCTCTACTCGTAGCTTTACAATTTACATATTGT